TTTTCCCCCCCCCCCCCCCCCCCCCCCAAAAAAAAAAGAGAAATTGTGAAGTGTCTGCCACTGATGATGTGTCAGTTACAGTTCTATGCAAAAGATTGTATTTAATTTGTAAAATTTATGCTGCTACTAAATATATTTTCTCACAGAAATGTAACATTCTGGTATGTCAGAACAAAGTGGCAGCTCTTCGTGAAGCATTGTTTTTGTTAAAGGAACAGCAGACAGAAGGTATATGGAGACTTAAATAATGTTTTATTATACATGCAGTGATTGTTACCTTTTAAGTCTGATATCCAGCATGACTGCTTAGAAAATATTCACAAATCTGTTTTTGTATTTTAGAAAGGGCGTGTTTAAGCAAGACAACAGAAGAAAATAAGAAACGAAGATCTAGATTAGAGAAACTAAAACAGCAAATAAAAACACAAGAAAAAGAATTAAATTCTAAAAATGTAAATTGCTACATAATTAGTTGAATGTTCAGAGAATAACTGATAGTTTGGAAGTGAGAAGATTTCAGGCATGGCCAAAATGACGGCATTTTTGTTGTCTTCAATTGCAGGAAGTTGCATTTCCAGGCCTCTTTTTTTAAAACTGGAGGAGCTTGCCTTTGGACCCCCTGCTTTTCAGGAGCTCTTCACAAATTTCACCCACACCACCCCCACCCCCCTAACATCAAATATCTTCCATTGTGTATTTAAAACGATAATTATTCAAAAATCAAATTAGGAAATGCAACCTATTACATCTTTAACCTTTTCTACCACAAAGTTGTTTTAAAATGCCCTGGAGGAGCATTCCTCCAGCGTTCTGGATTCCAGCCTAATGTCTGCACCCTATTTTTCCTTTCTTAGGCAAAGATCGTCCAGAAGCAATTGGATGTAACAGCGGAACAAGACAATATCACAAGACTTCGTAGAATACGTGTTGATCAAGCTCAGAAATATCTCTTTCCTATTTGTAAACAAAAAGTGTTTCCAGAATTTGGCACCCCACCTGATGATACACCTGTTCACTTTGATGGTACTGTATGATGTGATCATCCGTTAAAACAGATTATCTGTCGTAGTGTATTCAACACGAGACAAATTATCCAGTATAAATAAGTACTGTTTATTATATAAAGTATAGTGCTTTATAGAGATTTCGAGCACTGGTAAAAGTGATAATCTCACATGTGAGATTATTCATGATAATCTCACATGTGAAAATTATCGCTTTTCAATTATCGCTTTTCTGTAAAAATTATCGCTTTTCAAAGACTGTCCTTTATATAATAAACAGAAAAATACATGGGTGCAGCTTGGAAATACCAGATTTATATCTCGTGTTGAACATGATATCTTACTCGTTCTCTGCGCTCACTCGTGATATATCATGTTCAACACTCGAAATAAATCTGGTATTTCCGCGCACCCATGTATTATTCTCTATTTAAAACACGAGCAGGAGTGTTTTATCAGATATAAAACACGACAGCGCAGCTCGAGTGTTTTAGATCTAATAAAGCACGGACTGTGAGTATTTTAAAACAACTTATCTGACGAGTTCATTGACGAAGTAATTTTAAAAATAAACGTTGTCTAAGCCGAGAAAATCAAACCTAAAGTTTATGTAAATTAACATTTTCTTCATCACATATAATTGATATAAAACCAACGATACGGTAGTGATTTCCTTTGTTTATTCCTCTTTTATTAATGAGTTTTTGATGTTAAATACAAATTTAGATTGGGTTTCCTCATGTAGTAACACCAGAGCAATAAGTGATGGCTCTTACTGAGTTTCTGAAAATGAGTTTCTCATATCCAATGTTTTCAGTCAGTGATGTAGTCGTGGAAGGCGGTGAAAGCTGTGAAAAGGCTTTGACGGAAGCGACACGAACATCGTACGTTGAAGGACGATGGGTTAGCGATGATGAGTTGGCAAATACACAGTACAAAATTCTCGAAGCTTTTCTTCCTGCAGATGGCGACTACTCGACTTACTCTGTTTGGTGTGAGTATATCATATATATTAAGTTCTTTGTATCATTGTATGGCGATAAAATATATAGTAGTTTTGTTTGTGGAAACACCACGTAAATTTATTACTGCAAAGCTTTCGATCCGTAAGCCCGGATCTTCATCAGTGCTAATAGATCCGGGCTTACGGATCGAAAGCTTTGCAGTAATAAATTTACGTGGTGTTTCCACAAACAAAACTACTATATCATATATATTGTTTGATAAACTCACTATCTTAGTGTCTTTGTCAAAAGTCTGGCTGTTCAAACTTCGGTGTCATCCTCGCAGCGCGATGGTTTTATACCCTTGGTTATAGCACAGAATAAGGTACACAGAAGGCCGACTTCTTCGTTTTTCCTATGATTTTCCTATGATTTTGGCGTAACCCGTAACCACGCCACGATTCATCATCAAATGCTGACGCCATGGTCGTAGCCAGTGCGCGTTTGAGAGGCATTCACCCCCTGATAATATTCAAAATGGCGGATGTCCAGGGGGGGAATGCCTCTCAAACGCGCACTGGCTAGGACCATGGCGTCAGCATTTTGATGATGAATCGTGGCGTGGCAGCGGTTACTCGAGTCGACCTTCTGTGTACCTTATTCTGTGGTTCTAGGTTTCACTAAATACCATCATGCAGCAGATGGTGGTCAACCTGCAATTATCAGAGTGAGAAAATAATGGTTATTGTGTGGAGAGAGAACATTAGTGGACGATGTACTAGAAATTCTGGGTGTTTGAACATTCCTCTTTTCAAAAGCACCAACGAACGTTCTATTACCGTACTGTGTCAATAGAACGATCTTCCAGAGAACATAAAATGTAACTCATCGAGGTTCAATAAATTTTTTTCAATTGAAAAACAGTAGTTTCTCCCACAGTATAAATGTTGCTCGCATGCATCAGTCTGCTATCTCGTAATGTAAACCGATCACTCAGATCAATCAATTCTTTTTTGTAGTGAAATCCAACAAAAATTCATCTAATGAATCAGGTAAATAGAGAAACTATGTAGGAGGGTTTTGTCGATGGAAATTTCGAGTGTAATTTTTATACATTTATTAGAACTATAGACCCTCTGACATGAATTGAACCTGTAACCCTGTGATTCCTGTGCAGCGCTCTAACCAACTATGAGTTACAGAGTCCAGTTGTCGAATTCTAACCGCAAGTTTATGTGTGTAAACAAAAAAAAACACTGTCTTCTTTCTTAGTACCAACAAGTAGCCTGAGAAGCTCAGCATTTTCCCTGACAGCAGGTCTGACTTACACCTGTCAATTGCTCGATCTCATGGCGTTTTTTCTCGATGTCACTTTACCAAAAGACGTTAATTGCAGGTAACATTTTAGACGAAGAACCCGAGTGTACTTTCAAACCTTGTATTCTATTAACTCCATGTTATTTCTTGTCTCTTCATTTATTATTCCAGTGACTTTTGTCTACGTGATCTGAGTGCATCGGAGTTCAGGTCGGCTGTGCTACGTCTCAATACGAATGTGATGTATTTGTGCCTCTCACAGGTTTGTTTTGGGCTGTTGATTTTGGGTGTGTTTCACTAGGCGCCAGTTATCTTACAAGTTAGTGAGAAAATGATTCATATGTAATGTATAATAAATGAATGTTTTTGTCCAGAATGTGAATATACAGATGCTTCATCCCAAACGAACTCTTCAAAATATCCATGCTTGCCTTCAATCTGATAACATCGAGTTAGGAAGGTGAGTGAAAAGATTGAATGGACACTAACTCACAAACTTGCTCGCTCGCTCGCAATGAAAAGTACTACATTGTCTGCCTCGATTCCAAGCTATTGTTTTGTGTGCACTCACGCAAATTCGAGAAGTGTGTATTGTCTAAAAAATCGACAACTGAAATAAAGACTTCATTCAGTAGACAATGATAATAGTATGACTTTATTTAACGAGGCTAACATACATTATTGGTTTCCCAATAGTTTTCATTATGGGCCATAAGGCCCAATCATGCAGATAACAGTGGCCTTTGTTTCATTGTATGCCAGATTATCATGTTATTAAAATCAGAGTGTCGTTGTCTAGATTTGGTGCTCACACTATCTTCGACTCGCAAGACTTCCTGCCAAGTGATGATGACGTCAGCAGCTCAGACGAAGACCAGGTTGATGGTAAGGTCAGTCCAAATGTAGAACTTAGTACATCGGATACAGAATGGGAGACGGTTACTATGGATACGTCAGCACCCGATTCCGATGACTTACGATCAGGGTCGGCAAGTTCCGAACAAGACCCGAGGCCGTCGACGACTACTAGTTTAGTGTCATCAGTGACTGCACTTTGGCGATGGAAAAGCTAGTGCGAGAATGACTGCTGGGGTTTAACCGAGGACCGGTAACCACTTGCGCCACTGTGGCTGGTCGAGTAGATATCAGGTTTAGTTGATAATTGCAAGTATTGTGAACTGGTGATGGCGTCAGATGGCGTTTTATGACATAACAATCCACTTTACTTTAGTCTACCGTTTCTGGTCGGGATTATTGCAATTTATAATAAATATGAAAAATGACCATATGAAAAATGACCATAACTATAAATAGTGTGTGCTTGTGATGTCATAAGATGGCTTATTCACAGATAACATTCATGTCGACCCGAAATCACTTTGATAAATAACTGTGGGGTTAGGGTTATGAGTTGAAATTACAAGAACTTAAATTGCAATAAAAATCAAGTTTTGTCCAAAGGACTTTAATTAGAGTTGTCCTACTTGCAACCTTTTTTGCAGCAAACCTTAAAGTTGTATATACAGTACCAGACTAGAAAACTACAACCACACACTCGTATTTACTGAGATACAAATTTATTTTATTCACTTTAAACAAACAAACATATTCATAAAGCAACAGTGTCTATAAATAAAGTCCTTCAGGCGTGCCTTCAGATTTTCGATACAAGACGTTTTCTTTGGACTTTCGGAAATCTTCGTTCGCGACTTTCATTCGACGTTCTCTTAGAGCGAGGAGACCTGCTTCTGTACAGATTGCCTGAAAGAGATACACAATATTTGAATGTGGAGTAAGAACTCGGTGATCGCTAGATAGTATACTTCAAAATAAGGTTTCCGTTTTTATAACGTAGAAAAAACTATCCTAACTCAAAACTAAACCCTAACCCTAATACTAAACCCTAACCCTAATACTATCCCTCACCCTAACCTTAACCTAACCCTAACTTATTTTAAAAATTGATATAAAAACTGAAACCTTATTTTGAAGTACACTGTATACTATCTAGCAATTGCCGTAAGAACTCACGTCCAAAACGTGAAGCCAAAGATGGCGGGAATTGATGTCTAGTGCCAGTCTGTTGTTTTTGTCTGCGCGGTTAACATGAGGGTGCAAGGTGTGTGCCGAAATTTCGTGTTTTGACTTCGGTCGTTTTATGAACTGATAACTTGATTAGCGATATGATCCGTTAGAAACAACTGGAATTAGCTGGGGAAAATGGTATGAATACTCCAGGGATGGAGAAAATATGTGAGCACCGCTCGCAGGGAATGTTAAACAGCTGCAAAAAAATAGTTTGAGTGAAGATTTGCTGTTGAAAATTTGAAGGAAACCTTAACAGCCATGTCCCACTATGGGCGCAACAACATATGGTTGACAGACATTATTCCTTGAATTTAAAACCATGCTCAGCTAGAACACTATGTGTTTATGCACATGCAGATTTAGCACAAAAATACTCTGTTGGTCTGCAGGAAATTTTTACCTCCGGGCTGTGCTCCCAGGAAGAAAATTCCTTTTTCCCGCCCTGGAAAACTCTTTACGACCTTCACAGATTTCCGACATCTTGGCTGCACTTTTCGCATAGGCCGAATGACTGAAGTTCTCGCTCCAGATATATAGAGATCACTGGATCTGACTATTTCACGTGGAGTTACCCTGTGAGCAGAGTCATACAAAAATAGCAGATTGACTCTGCTGAAATTATGTAGCTTTTGATTTGAACGCAGGGTGAAACGTGAAAGTACCAAACCTGAAATGACACATCGTGCAAGACTCCGCTCAAAAGTAATACAGGATAATTTTCTCCTATTATGTTGTATACTAACCTTAATATCAGCGCCAGAGAGATCGTCTTTAGCCATGATATACTCGGAGAGATTGACATCGTCAGATAACGTCATGCGACTTGTGTGGATGTTAAATATGCGACGTTTGGTTTTCTCGTCGGGTAACGGAAATTCGATCTTGCGGTCGATACGACCTACAGGTAAGATAGCAAATGATGATAGTAATAAATAGAATGCAAGAAGTTTATGCAATTATGAACAGATTTCGATTTTCGAGAAAATGTGTTTCTATATCTAAAGGATGTGGCAGAATTTTTAGGAATTCACCTCTTCACCACCATTGTAAATGACTGTATGTCAAGAAAAGTGATCACACATGATTTTGTCCTGGTAAAGTTTTACATGTGATAATTTCGATGTGCATTGCTTATAACGGGAGGTGGGGTGTTCACATTTCCGGGGAGTGCGCACAGGGCCGTCCTCAGGAAATTCTTCAGGGGGGGTGTAATAAGGTCAATTCAACGGACTGGTTCAAAAAAAACTTTTCCGGAACCAAAATTTTTTGTCGACCTCCCCCCTCCCCACCCCCCCCCCGTCGCCAAAAAAATTTCGGTCATTGTACCATTTTAGGGGTCCAAAAATGTTTCCGGACGTACAAAAATTTTCCGGAACATTCAAAAATTTTCCGCACATAACAAATTTTCAACATTTTTTTACATTTTTCCAAAATTTTTACATTTTTCCTCAAAATTTTCCAAAAATTCCCAACACGTTCTTGCCCTTTGCGCCAAAAATATTTAACCCAAATAGCAGTCCTACCGACTGAATAGCAGTCCTGCCGACTGAATACAATTACTGGGGGGTGTCACCCCCCGTAGCTCCGGGCCTGAGTGCGCAACCACCCCCACCCAAAACCCAGAAATTTATTCCATCCGCTAAACAACACTCACCAGGTCGGATTAACGCTGGATCCAGTGTCTCTATCCTGTTTGTCGCCATAATAACCTGTAAAATTTGAAACTTTAGTAGATCAAGCATAACTGGACACATGCTTTTAATAAATTCAGTATATCGACCACAATATTTACCTTGACGTCTCCTCTGGAGTCGAAGCCATCCAACTGGTTGAGTAATTCCAACATCGTTCTTTGGATTTCACGTTCACCGCCCGAATTGGATTCGTACCTGTAAACAGATTTGTTACCGTTCAGTGTTTGAACTTCTTGTCTGGCGTTGCATGTTGCTGTTGGCAGTTTCAAGCAAGAGACAACAACAACAACGACAGCAACAACAGCAACGACGACGACGACAACAGCAACAACAATAACAGCAACAACAACAACAACAACAACAACAACAACAACAACAGAACCCACCTTTTCGTTCCGATAGCATCGATTTCGTCGATAAATACGATCGATGGTGCGTGTTCTTCCGCGACACGAAATAGTTCCCGAACCAGTTTTGGACCGTCACCCTATCAAATGATTGATCAGGTAAGTTGTTAGGAAATGATTCTGACGTATTGAAAACACTGTATGATGGTTCTTACCAGGTATTTTTGTATTAATTCAGATCCAACGACTCTCAAGAAAGTCGCTGAAGTTTGATTTGCGACGGCCTTTGCCAACAGGGTTTTCCCTAAGAAAATAACACAGCTTGTGAGTTCAAATTAATTGATTGACTGGATAATTTTGTGTGTTAAATACGAATATGAACCTCTGATTTGATCCTCTACTGCACCCAACAACACTCCGTTGCTGATTTGGTTCAGCGTCAGTGTGGCTCACCACATCAAAACAGCTATACTTCAGTTTATCGAGTTTCTCGCTCATTGGTGAAGCTATTGCCCAATTGATAGGGGATCCGAGGTACCTACGATTTTAACGTCTTTATTTGAGAAGACGCGAAAGTCTGACTATTTACTGATGTCAATGTAAAGGTAGCTCTTTCTCTTCAATTATTTTAAGGCCTTGAGTAGAGGTCTGACCAAGAATTGGGTCTCCCAGCTTAAAAGGCAAGCGTGGTGACCACTACACCAGTGCTGGTGAAAGCAATCTATACATTCATGTGATTTTCCTACCTGTACCAGGAGGACCGTATAAGATAACTCCTTTAGGAGGTCGAATACCCATTTCTTCGTAAAGTTCTGGGTGCGTTAATGGAAGTTCAACGGACTCCTACAACGATTTGAAATGCAAATTTTATAATGTAAATAAAAATTAGCTCATTTCTGATGGAAATACAATTTGTCTTGTAAATATACGCGCGGTAAGTTTTAAACCTTGATTTCCATAATCTGTTTGTCGAGTCCGCCAATGTCCGCATAGGATTCCTGTGGTGCTTTCTCCAGTTTCATGACGGTTACCATTGGGTCTGTGTCGTCTGTGAGCACTCCAATGACTGCATGCACCTGATGGATGAAACACATTAAGTTGAAATCAAATTTATTTGCCATTTACACATCACACTTGATGACGAAGTGACTTTAAAAAATCAACAGGGGTCGGTTGTATGAAGGCTGGTTGAGGGCTAAGAGGTAGATCGACCTTCCAAAAGCATGTGGGGAATAGCATTCCTGAGATCATAGAATTCTCAAACATTCTGGGATTGGGGGCATTCAAATGAAATGGATAGTTATTTTGCACCTTTTGATGTTTCATGGATCCCTATTCAGTTATACTAGTCTTAATGCTGAAGGTCTTTAGTCATATGAAGCTCACTGCTTATTTTCATACTATACACAAGTAAAAATCTCACAATTTGTCAACAAGATGTGTTCGCAACAGGTTTGTAGCAAGCTTGTCAACAAGATGTGTTTGCAACAGGCTTGTAGCAAGCTTGTCAACAAGTTGTAACAATACTGTTATTTTATCAAGTTGCTACAAGGTCGTCACTCACAACTTGTCAACAAGACGTGTTCGCAACAGGCTTGTAGCAAGCTTGTCAACAAGTTGTAACAATGTTGTTATTTTATCAAGTTGCTACAAGGTTGTCACTCACAACTTGTTGACAAATTGTTGAATAGCAGCATGATAACAAGTTGTTGAGCTCGACAACCTTGTAGCAAGTCGTCAACAAGCCATTTACAACTTCCAAACACATCCTGATTGACAAGTTGTTGGAACAGCATTTGCTGTTTGCTGTAAATTTGTTACATCTTGTAAATTTGTTACATCTTTCAAACCATTTACCTTATGATTAAGTAAGACAGTACAGCCAGGTTCCAACAAGTCTTTATCAACAAAGGACAGTATATTGACATAATGTTCTGACCCGACTGACGTTGATACTATAGCATGGTTATCATCAATGATTTCTTCCAGAGTACCAACAGACATTGGAGTCCCTCGAAGTTCATCTACTTTTGATCTCTCTTCCTGTTTATAAAAATAAACACAAGTTGGAGGGTCTTTGTCAAGCAAGATCATTTGTAAGATACTAAGATGCAAGCTCCAAATTGCGGTTTCATGACGTTTGTCAGCTATCAGGTAAGATATTTCTCAATTTTTCTACTGCAGTTTCTGAATTTAGTTGAGTGTGCCCAAAAGGGGCAAATGACAGGGGAGCTCCCAACTTATACACATAGAAGAAGTTTTGTATCTAAAAACTGAACTAAACTATTACCTAGCTTTTTATTCTGGATAGGTCTATCAGTTCTAAATTGTTCTCCAATATTTCAAGGGGAAATTTAGTATTATTGAGTGGAGAGGGGGTTGGTGCATGCAGAGCTTCCATGGAAATGTCCATTGCCATTACAAACTTCTATTAACCCATTGAGTGGCAGCACTCTCCCCTTGACAAGTAAAATAATAAAGTAGGGCACATTGCCACTTAAAGGGTCAATTGCTGCCACATTTCCCTGCGAGGTGCTGCATTGTAATGTAAGAGGGCTTGCACCCCACACCATGGAGTCATTTCCAGGGAGGTACTGTATACACCCCTGGTGGCTATTTCATTACTTCATTCTTCTCTTCTTGTGGCTTCAGTCGTTCTTGATTTTGGATGAATTCATCTTCCATCAGCAAGAAATCCTTAATTCTCTCCAGTTTGAGCAACTTCAACCTGCAGTTCTTGTGAGGAGTAACTACACAAGGTTGTGAAAATGGTAGTGAAAATTATCACTTGAAAATTACATCCAGCACAGTATGGGTATAGTCGAATAGTGTAAACACTGCTACCTATGCCCTTACGAGAGGCATTAACCCCCTTGAATGTGTGCCATTTTGAATATTTTTAGGGGGTGAACACCTCTTGTAAGTGACTGGCTAGGAATATGGCGATAGCATTGGAATGGTTATGCCAAAATCAATGGCTTCTGTGTGTTTCTTCTCTGGTTTACTATAGGAAGAAACTGGATTTATGGTGTGAAAACATATGGTGTTTGGTAGAGGAATCATACATACCTTGCGGCAATTTATTAGCTGCTTCAGGTCCTTTGAGTTTTTTCTGTTTCTTACCAACTCTTGTTGGTACAGGCGGTTCATACTTTTTGCGCTTGTCCTTTAAATGGATTAAACAAATTTTAGCCAATGCTGGGTCTGATAATTTAATCAAAATTTGCTTGACATAGACATGTTTACAAACCTTATCCTCCTTTTTATCACCTTGTCCTGCTCCACCACTGCCAGACTGATTTTGACCCTTCAAGAAAATGTTACTGTTACAACCCTCTCAAAAATTCCTCGTTATTAAATCTTGTTTTGTTTACTTAAATTCATGAATCAAACTATTCCAGGACAAAGGGGAGGGGGGGGGGG